GTAGAAGACGCTGGACAGGTTCGCCACGACTCCGCGCTCTACGAGAATCGCAGCGCACGAGCCCCCGCCACACGACAGCGTCGACCGCGTCATGACAAACCGCGTCGACAGAAGCCGGACACCGTCCAGCACAAGCGCGGGACCACGCCGGGATCCCGCATGGCCAGGGGTCGTCGGCACGTACTGCGACCCGCCAACCGTCGCGCGCAGTGTTGAGTCCGCCAGCAGCACACTCGAGTGCAGCGGCATCGCGCCATGCAGCACGATCGTGCCCTCCAGCGACGTCACATTCGTCATGTTGACGAGAGCGTGCGGCATCAGGCGCGCCGTGCTCTCGCTGAGGCCACCAATCCACAGCTGCGCACCGCCCGCAAGCACACAGTGGCGCAGCGTCACGTTCAGCGCGTCAGCGAACGCATCCATCAAGCGCAGGTCCACCGTCACAGTGATCGGTCCGCTGAACACCACCGAGTCGAAGCACGCCGTCGCACGCCAGCCACCAACCGTCACCGACTCCGTCAGCGTCACGCCACTCACGCAGCCCTGCGCACCGCCACCACCGCCGCCGGCCCTCGCAGGCGGCACTTCGAACGGCAGGCACGCCTCGCCCACGCCGCCGGCACGGCAGCTGCACACGCAGTCGGAGAACGACGCAGTCAGCGCATCAAAGCACGCCAGCGCAACCGCACAGCCGTCGCACGGCACCACGCTCACGGAGGGCAGGCCGGCCATGCGGTAGTCGCCGCTGCTCTGCAGCACCCGGCCGCCGGCACGGTTGCACTGCACCCACACGACGCCGCTCGCGATCGTCGGCCCGGAGACAAGCGTCGCGCCGGTGGCAGCGCAGCGCGCAATCGACACGGCGCCGCCGCTCAGCGTCACACCCGACAGCGACGCCACCGACGACGCCTCGCCCACCGCCCACACGTCGTGCAGGTCCAGCCACCCGCCGTCATCGACCGTCCCACCGTCGCAGTGCACCAGCGACGACGCAACAGACCCCTCGACGCCCGCGAAGCGCAGCACAGACTCAAACACCGCGAGGCGCTCTCCAAGCACAATGCCGCCGCCGCTGCTCACAACCGACACTTTCGTCACGGAGAACACCGAGTGGCTCTGCAGACTGAGACGCGACGAGGACGCCAAATGCATCGCGGAGGCGGTAGGACCGCCCGACGCCTCCAGCGACACGCCGTCAAGCACCACCGCGCTCGACAGCAGGTCCACGCCGCCGCCAACGTGCACCGCCGACCCGCCCGCGTGCAACGACCTCAGCACAGTGTTGCTCACACGCAGCTGCGTCTGCAACAGCGACGTCGCGTGCAGCACAAGCGGCGACGCCACCGCGTCCGTCAGCCCGCTCAGCTGGGAGTATTGCATCGGTCCCGCCGTCACAATCGTCGAGTCACGGACCGTCACGTTCGTGTGTGCCGGCAGGTTGTGCGCAAACACAAGCGAGCAGTAGCTCCCGGACAGCCCGCTCACGCTCACCTCCAGGCTCCGGTCACTCGCCGGCTCGCCGCTGTAGCCCCGCACGTAGATCTGCGCACCGCCGTCGCACACGCAGTTCCTCAATTCAATGCGCAGCGCGCCGGGAAGCATCGCCGGCACGTCGAACACAACAGCCACGCCGTTCGTGATGGACACGCCGTCCATCAGCACCGTGCCCACGGCGCGGCCAACCGTGATGGCTCTGTCCACCGTACCGCCCCGCAGTCGCAACACCACCGCATGCACCGCGGGCATCCACGCCGCCGCCGCAACCAGCGCCAACACAACGAGCAGCGCCGCACACGGTGCCGGAATGGCACTGCGCCGCACACGGTGTCGGCTACGCGGACACGCACCCACCGCACACCGCATCCACCGAACCAATCAGATATCAATAGGGCTGTCGTGGTGTGTCGCACTCGCACCGTCGACCGTAGCACCTTTCTAATAAATCCTTTCCTACAGATGGAGAATCCAAAAGCGCAAATCCGATAGATCGCTATACCACTACTACTAATCCTAATACTGCCGCGAGCAATAACCAATACCTTGAAACGATAGTTGTGCTGGTCAAGCCAAAATAGCTCTAACTGCACGGTCAGAGGAGAAGAAGGCAGAGGCAGCAACAACAGTAAATAAACACAGTGGCACACAGAAGCATCCGCCCACGCAGCCCCACACAGCCACCGTGCCAATTAGCGGGGCCCAGGCAAAAACAAACATGACCAGTGGCGCAGCTAGTGTGACCGATGGGTCAGAACTGCACAAGAAACAGCAAAATCAGACGCGCACGGCATACACAATGACGAAATGAAGAATAAAGAAGCACGGCGGCAGTACGCAGACACGGGGAAGAAGGGTCCACATCAATTGCACAGTCCGATTGGCTCGCAGCCGTCCGAATGGTGGTCGCGCCGCTGCCGCGCGGGGCGTGTGGCCTGTGGCTGCTGTGGACTGAGAAGATGATGAGGGGGAAGAGAGATGCGGTGCGGTCCTCATCCATCTCGGTTGGTGGTTGCACCAGTCACGCCATCCCCTCAGATCGCCTGCTGCAAAGACCGTCACCGTCAGCAGCGGTCGGTGCCGTCCTTCTCCACCGATGCCATCACGCGCCTCCTCCCTCAACAACACAACGGGGGAGCAGCAGCCACACGCAACTGCCACCACAGAGCGCAAGAGGAGCAACCAACTACACTGCAATACATATATCGTGTAGGTGTCTCGTGTTTGTGCCTACGACCAAAAAAAAAAAAAAAAAAAGCAAAGCATCTGAGGGGACACACAACCACACAAGAGTGCCAGACAAAAAGAACAAACAGGATGACTGCTGAAACGCAGCACTGCACGGCTGCCCACGCTGTGGAAAGCCGCGGCACACATGCTGAAAAGTAAAAAGACAAAGATGTATTCGTCTTCCATTATGCATTCACCCAAAAACCAAAAAAAACCTGCACGTTGGTGCGTGGCCTCCAAATCGGTGTGTGTGTCTCGCCTGCAGATAAGAAATAAATAAATGTGTTGCACTCCTTCCAGTCGTTTAAACACCAGGTGCCCACACATTATTTATATTCCACTGGGACACCCGGCGCGGTTTCGTGCCCCCATTCCATTGTCTTTTTTATTAGCCGGCGCCATCGGCGTGGCACACAATGCCGGGAGCGTCTCCGGTCAATCAAAAAAAAAAAAAAAACACTCAGTAGATCCCGTAATTGTCGGAGGACCACAACACGGGGTGGAAAGAAGAAAACAAAAAACAACCCCGCGGTGCTGGTGCTGGGGAGAGCATGCTTCCACATGGAGGAAAAGCCCTGCGCAGCAAAAAGAATCTAAAGTAAAATAAAATGGTCAAAACAAAGTGTTCACAAAAAGTGGCAATTACTTTAAAAGAGCGCGTGGAAAGACGCATATGTTCCCGCTG